TAGATAGATAGATAGATAGACACATAGATAAATTAGATAGATAGATGTTGGAGTTACTTCTACATTAGACCCAAGCCCTCTGTGCTTACGCAGGGGAGCTTAAAGTTTCGCCTCTTGCTGGGACCCTCTGGGCGGCAAACCCTAAACTCACAAAGGTTCGGAGTTCAGGGTTTAGGGGGTTCCCTCAAGGCTAAACCCGGCCTGGACCCCCAAGGCATGTATAACAACATTTGAAAGGTCTGTGCCATACTTTATTTTTTGTTTTTTTGGAGGGAAGGGGAGGGGTTGGCAAGCCCTAAACCCAAATCCCGAAACCTACAAGGCTCTTTGAACCCTAAACCCTAAACCCTAGCAATCTTCAGACCCCCTAAACCCTAAACCCTAAGCCCTAAACCCTAAACCCTAAATCCTAAACCCTAAACCCTAGCAATCTTCAGACCTCAGAGCTTGAACCTGCACCCTGGCTCTGAAGGTTCCTAGGAACGGTTTAGGGTTTAGGGCTCAACAATGCAAGCTCGAGCCCCAAAGGGCTAATATAGGGGCCGCAATGATTACCAATACTATTTTGGGGGGTGTTCTTTGCGATAATTACAGTATAATATACACCAAAACCCTATTCTAATTATTAAGGCGCCTACATTAGTCTACAGGGTTGAGACTTGTGCAACTCCAGAGCGAGACCTGTGGTGCCAGCTGTGCAGGAAGGGTTTAGGGTTTCAGGCTTCAGGGTTGTAGGGCTTAGGGTATTTGCCAATGACAGCATTGAGAATGCCAACCACAGTCGCAAAGATACGAAGATGGGTTTACTTACGCAACATCCCTTAGCAGCCTCTGCTCGGGGAGCGGAGAAGCAAAGTAACAGCACGAGGCATCAACTATTAACCCTAGCCCCTAAACCCTATAAGCCCTATACCCTATAAACCCTAAACCCTTCTCCGAGGTGATCATGACCATCTGGGCCATGCTCTTGGTGGAAATAGTCCACCCGATCATGAAGGAGATGAGGCTGGCCGACGTGGCCTTCCAGGCCTTCCCAGCGCAGCCGGAAGGGTTTAGGGTAACCCTAAAGCCCCAAACCTTAAACCTTAAACCCTCAACCTTATAAACCCCAAACCTTAAACCCTAAGTTCTAAACCCCAAACCATAAACCCAAAACCCTAAACCCCTCAACCCCAAACCTTACTTAAACCGTATAGGAACTGGACCCTCAGCCCGAAAGCCTACGAAGCTGACTAGTTCCTGTGCCGCCAACCCTGAATGCTGCTTGACGTTGCAGAGCTCTTCTGGGATTTTCCAGAGTATCACTGCTTCATCACATAAACCCTGAAACCCTAAAGCCCTAAACCCTAAAGCCCTAAACCCTAACCCTAAACCCTAAAACCCTAAAACCCTAAAGCCTAAATCCCTAAACCGTGTTTTGTATCGTCAGACTCGTAGCTCGGCTCTTAGGCGCTGTGGATGTCGGTGTTATTTTTGGGGGGTTCAGCTCGCGGCTTCAGGCTGCGCAGCGTTTAGGGTTTAGGGTTTTTGGTTTAGGGTTTACGGTTTAAGGGTTTAGGGTTTAGGGTTTAAGGGTTTAGGGTTTAGGTTTTAGGGATGATCCGGGCCAAGTAAAACCACCAACTCACCGACTCCTAAACCTCAGCATATACACTGCGGTAGCTGCGCCGCGGCCCAGCTGATATTATAGTTCCAGCTGCAAGATCTTGGACGTGAGCTGTTTCTTTGGCCCTGGTCGAGTCAAGGCATTCAGGAAAAGGTGTCCTTCAGCCTTACCTAGAGTCTCCATTGTAGTTCGTTTTTGGGGTTGCCTTATAGGATGCTTAATATCGAATTTGCTAAACCAAACAAGGAACTACAATGCATACTATACTGGGTGGCAGTTTGGGAAACTTTAACAGTTCCCTTATGGTCTCTATAGAGGTACCTATTCAGAAATACTTTTCAGGGCCGCAAAACCTAAACCCTAAACCCTACAACCCAGTATGTATAGGTAAACTATAACCCAAGGTAGGGCTAAAGGAAGGCTCCGAGCCTGGATTCCATGAAGACCCTGCACCCTGAACCCGAGGGACCCTAAAGTGGGTTTAGGTTTTAGGGTTTAGGGTTTAGGGTTAGTAGTGTTTAGGGTTTAGGGCTAGTAGGGTTTAGGGTTTAGGGTTTAGGGCCTGAACCCTAAACCCTAAGCTTACAGGCGCCAACCCATCCTGCGCCTTGCTGCGAGGATTGCGCTAGGTGCCTGAAAGCGACCTCCTCCGTCATGGACTCGAACCTGCTTCTCTTTCAGACGGCAACGTGCTGGCAAAGAGTCTCTGTGAACTTCCCAGAGCCCATGACACCCATGATGCTGAAGCTTAAGAATGCGCTTCCTACAGCCCGAGGAGCTTTAAAAGGCATAAACACACCCCACAGGCATGACCCCCCTGCCCAAAGTCTGACTTCGAAACCGGCGTGCTACGAACGATGTCTGGCGTGTCCGTGTGTTGAGTCTGAAAAAAATTGCATGGAGCACTTTGCCATTGCGAGTGCCTGCAGATATCGTTCTCCAAATTAAGGTCCCTTTGTAAGTCCCAAAACTATTACGGCACCCCGATAGAAAGGACCCTAATTGGGACCCTGATTCAGAGAGCTACCCATATGCATTCTGAGGTCATCGCAGGGGACAGTTGGGGCGACATTGCTGTGCCCGTGATCGAGTTCTCTCCGGGAACGGCAATTATCTTCGTAGGCGCCAGCCCTTGCGTGAGAGAGTGTGTTCTGTGAGGGTCTTGTGCATTACACCAATTCCACGACCTAACAGTTGACCCGACCCTGAGCTACGCCGACAGTGTTCTTGCCAGCCAAACGAAGCCGCTGCCTTCGGTCCGGCCTACGAACGCCCATGCTCCACGTCACAGTCCTCCTTGACCTGCTGCTATTAACTATACTACCACTGCCACGACAACGAACGATCATTACCCCACCACCACCAGCACGGCCACTACAACAATTTTAGCGCAGATCCCTGATTAAGAAGCCCTGGCCCTTCGACGGATCATCAGAGTGAGTGTCTTGTCCGCGAGTGTTGGGGTAGAAAGCTATAGTTAGGTCTACCATGTAGGGTCGGTGTGGCTTCCGGCTGCTTGGATAGAGCTCCTGATTCAACAGGGCTTGCTGAGATTGAAGACGGAACATAATCTTCCATGAAGATGAACACTTTGTTTTTACCCCCGATCTTCAAGATTTGACATGCTTCAGGATCTTTGTTGACACTGGTCTTTGGCGTGCTGAACTTGATTGTAGCCGTTGTCGCCACTCGGCTCGGCCTGGGGGGTTTAGTGGGAAATCCGGAGCAAAATCCAGTGACAGCCATTCTTTCTGGTTTAGTGTTTACCTTGTTTCGGCTGAGGGATTGTGTTGCATGCGGGGTTGCAGGAGTTTGAGTTTGGTGTGTAGGTATGTTCGGCCGCGAGGAGTTTGGCACTTGACGGTTTGAGAATGCCAGACATATGCCTGCAGAATTAGACTTGCTGTTTTGCGGCCGTATCCTTCTGCACAATAGAGTGGTTTCAGGGAGGTAGGTGTGTGTGTGTGTGACTGTGTTTATGTACGAAGTTGAGTACCGAACCAAGCTACCTATAGTCTCCATTGTAGTTCCTGTTAGGGGTTACCTTATAGGATCCTAAATATAGAACTGTTTAAATCAAAAAAGGAACTACAACGGAGACTACAGGTTGAATAAACGTTGTTCGACGTAGCGACCTCACCGTGCTGCCTGCAAGCCTAGCCATGATCGGCTTCGCACCCATTCAGAAAGGGTTTAGGGTTTAGGGTTTAGGGGTTGCGGGTTTAGGATTCTTTGCATTGTGGAAGTCAGCGTTCAGGCGATTGCACAAGTCCTGATGCAAAAAAGGGTTTAGGATCTGTGTCTTAACATGAACCGCTGGGAGTGTCCGAACCTCCAATGCCTGCGTACTCAGTCGTATCCTCCATCACTACAGGCATACGCCTGTAAGGGAGCTTGAATTGAAGTGTGTGCGACTACCTCGACCTTAAATCCTAGATCCTAGATAGCTTTAGCTAAGACCGGTTTTGAGCTCGTTTGAAGTAATCTAGAGTGGGATCCGCATCATCAGCAGCTCTCGGAAGGAATCTGTGCCACTGCTGAACTGCGCCCAACATCCCAGAGGAAAAACCAGGTGTTGCTCGAACTAGATGCAGTCTTTTGCTGTGGCGGACGGGTGGCGAGTAGGTGGGTGTGGGTGGTGTTGGGGGTTGGGGGGCGGGTGGTTGGGGGCTTACGGGTTCATTGTAGGGGTGTTATGACAAGGCAAGGCCCTGTGCCATCCTTCCCTTGCCCAGGTGGACACCTTCGCAGAAGTCCGACAACGAGATGTGTTGAATCTAGCGGAAGAGATGGAGCATGAGATCGAAAGTGACAAGACCCCCTGGGTATGAGGGTTTGAGTTTGGCTGAGACTGGCCCAGAAATCAAGTAATAAACCCCTAAACCCGAATCCCTAAAATAATGGCCCGACACCAAGATATGCAATTATTCTACCGAGTTTGGGGCCCAGGTAAACCCTAGCAGATCCCGGCAGGTGGTTCCCCTTTATTTGAGTGTAGCACTCTTGGGCGAGGTTTTGGATGTCGGAGCTTGGGCTACTGGAGATGTATAAGGGGACCCTACAGGTGTTTAGGGTCCTGCGTGTAGGTTTAGGGTTGAGGGGTGTAGCTGATTGGCAGAGTCTGGGTTCAAAGAAAGGGGCGTAGGTTTAGGGTTTGTAACATGAGTTGGGGATGCTCGTGGTAAGGATGGGCTAAACATCACGATCTCTCCCTGATTCTCTGCAATGCAAAACCCTAAACCCTAAACCCTTAAACCCGAAAGACTGGCGAACCAAACCAACGATAACCTGTGAAATCCCAGAGCACTGACTGAAAACAAGCCTTGGTAACACACTTTAAGTACAACCCAAAGCAAGAAAGGGTTTAGGGCTTAGGGTTTAGGGCCCTAGTTCCTGCACCGCTTGGCCGGGCTCTTGCTAAGGAGTTTAAGATAAGTTGCCATACTATGGAAGCTCGAATACTTACTTTAGACTGTAGATCCCCTACTGATGCAACTGAAGCGAAGTCTTCCCTGACCAGCACCCAGTTCCAGAAGCGCAGGAAGTTCTTGCAAAAGATCTTCGAGCGAATCGACACGGATGGAAGCGGACGTGTCACTCTGGAGGTTCGGTGGCTAACGGTTACTATAAGGGTTCTGGGTCCTTGTTGGATACAGTTTTACCTTTTGGTTATAATAAAACCCACTAAGGATCAAACATGATCATTTTAATATACCCCCAGAAAGGAACCCGGGTTGCTACAGGACTACGGTAAGGGATGCTGGTTGCAAAAAGGATTACGGTAGGGTGTTGGGTTCTAGGCTTCACGTTTCGGGTTGTTGGAGACCCAGGTTTAATACAGGCTCCTAAGTCGCATTTACAGTATCCTTACAGCGCTGAGGTTATGACAGTACACCCCAAAATAAAATACGTATTTCGACCATTGTAGAGTAACAGTACATCCTGAATTACACATCTATTTATGTGGTATGTCTGCTTTCCTAAAGTACCCCTTAAAGGAGCCCTTACATGACCCTTTAAACGGAGCCTTCAAAGGCGAATACTTCACTCGCCTCCCGGCAGGAACTGGTGGAGGGCGCGCGGAAGGACCCACAGTTCCAGAGCAGGCTTCGATCGGCATGGGATGAGCGTTTGGGATCCTTATAAGGGGCCTCAAAGCGCAAATCCTGAAGCTAAGTAACCCAATCAAACTCGCTACAACCCCCCCCCACCTTCCGAAAAACCGTACGAAATCCATCATCAAGACACCTGAAGACACCCAAAACCTCGGTTTCCAGCCCTAGGGCTCTCCATGTACCTACATGACGGAATACTGGGTCACGGAATATACGGTTTAGTAACTTTAGTCATACAGAAGCCTAAACAATCACCAACATGATTCCCTAGGCTTCCTTCTTACATTTATATTATGAAGGGTCCACTCATGCCTGTGTAAAAAGGTTGATGGTCTAGGGTTTAGGAAGTTTGGGGTTTGGGCAGCCGAACCCCTAAACCCTAAACCCTAAACGGTTTGGGGATTGGGGTATCTTCAATTTGCGCTTTCCCGAGTTGGTTTGCTCTGAGGGCACCGGGCCGTTTGGGATTTAGGGTTCAGGTGGAAAGCCTGCTGAAAAAAGAAGGGGTTCAGGTGGAAAGCCTGTTGCAAAAGGGTTCAGGGGATGGGGATGACGAGTGCGCGGAGGGTTTTGAGTCGGGGAAAGCTTTGCCGCTGTACAAACGGACATCCGGCCCAGAACCATACCATGAAGCATCCTAGTATTGCCGCTCGTCGTCAGCGTACGACCCACCCGTGTGAACATAGCACTCGAGCTCGGGACATGAAATTCAGGAGCCAGGCATGTGTGAGCTGCGGCCTCCGAAACCCAACACCATCCACCCTAAACCCTAAGCCCCTAAACCCTAACTAAACCCTAAACCCTAAACCCTAAACCCTAAATCCAAAACACCTAAACCGCTAAACCCTAAACCCCTTACTTAACCCCTAAGCCCTAAATCCCAAACCTGGCAAACCGCAAGCCGATGAGCCTTAAATCCTACACTCTGACCTGTGTCTAGGACATTGTCGGGTGGATAGTTACCGTTATAGAAGCCTTTTAGAAGGTCGATTCACCTTATAGAAGCCTTATAGAAGCCCTATATACCCTAAACTCCCCACCTGTAGTTTCCTTAAACTCGAAACCCTAAACCCTAAACCCTAAACTCCCCACCTGTAGTTTCCTTGAACTGTGCAGGCTCCGAGTTATGGACATCGACGAGGCGCTGGCACTTTGCAAAAGCCGGGAACGAGCATCGCTCAAAGCTTTCAGGGTTTAGGGTTTAGGGTTTAGGGTTAACATTCGCATTGTAGTCGTGATGCTTAGTTCTCCAATAGCCAACCATTCAACCTTTTTTGGGTTCTTATGATATAGTAATATAGTAGTAATCTAAAAGTGTAACCTTTAAATTCCCTGGCTTCTTGGGGAAGTAGGGATGATGGTGACAACGATGCAGATGGTGCTGATGCTGACGACGGCGAGGGTGGTCATGGCGAGGGTGATGATGATAAGGGGCAAGTTGACGATTACGTGCCGGACGACACTGCCGTCCCTAATGCCGATACCACTGGTGATGATAAGACATGACGACAGTTTAATTTGCGGTGATGACCGTGATGATATCCGTTTGGTGAAGAGCAACTGTTGCGTGTGGCAGGGAGTCACCACCACATTGGAAGCAAAGTCCTTGCCGTTTTGTTGGCGGTTGCATGGTGTTTCATATCGTTGCACCTGCTGCTCTGCCTATTGACGACGATGCTCTGTACTACATGTTTTTGCTTCTGGTGATGATGATATTAGCGATGACGAGCATGCATAAGTTTTGCGATGACAGTGCGGTATTGATGACGTTGGGCCACAGTTTTTACCATGATGACGACATCACGGTTGAACTGCCAGCAGACCACTTCTCGTAACAGGCAGACTTGCAACAGCTGTTCGAGATGATCGACATCAACTCCGAAGGAGAGATAGATGCACGGGACTCGGACTTCTGAGTCATGTCATTCTGCCTTGGTGTGAGGGTCCATCTTTCTTGTTTCACAAGTTAGTGCGCAAGAACTGTCATACAGCACCAAAAGCCCTAAACCACCCGAAACCCCAAAAAAGGCTTTGTGAAACCCTTAAGTACGATCCCCAGGCTGCTGAATTCATCGCTCCCCTCAGCCGTTGGGTCCACGAGTCAACTACGGCGCCGCGATTCATCAAGTGCCCTCTTACTGGGGAGGTATATCCTATAGTGAGTGGGTTTTGACACTCACATTCGCCTATACTCTCGATAAAGGCTAGAACACACTGTAACACACCATTCAACCTCCACCGCGCCGCCTCCTTCCGACCATGACGGCAGAATTGTCATGGAGACTTCCGGAGGTTACGACGATCAATATAGGAGTCGGAATACTTGGTTTTAGAATCCCCGTATGGTCTATATTATAAATAAATAAATACATATATATATATATATATATGCACACACATATTTGTATCTATAGTTATATACCTATATATAAAGTCAGCTATGTATTTTTTATAGACATGTATATATATATATATATATATATGGTCGCACCCCCCTGATCCACCTCCGTCTTCTTCGATATGCAAAACACATAGAA